CAGTAATGTTTTTCAATGTTAAATCAACCTTTTGTTTCTGAGGTAAACCCACTTGGTTGTGATGTGTTGTTCTGTTATACATATTTGGATTAGTTATCAAATTTTGTTTAGCATTTTCCTCTATGTGCTTGGGGACTCTTAGTTTGTAGTTTTCATTAACTGTAATGTCTTTGTCTGGTTTCAGTATCATGATAATGTAGAACTCATAGAATGACTAAGGAAGTACTCACTTCTCTTCAGTTTCCTGGAAGAGTTTGTTTAGAATGGATTATTGTTTAAATATTTAGTGGAATTCACTCTGGGCGTAGAGTTTTTTCATGGAAAAGATTTTAACCTCAGATTTGGTTTCTTTAATAGATATAGGACACTCTAGTTATCTATCCATCTATTTATTTATTTACTTTTTGGTGAGGAAGATTGGCCCTGAGCTAACATCTGTTGCCAGTCTGCTTCTTTTTGCTTGAGTAAGATTTTTGCTGAGCTGACATCTGTGCCAGTCTTCCTCTTATTTTTTATGCAGGACACCGCCACAGCACCACTTGATGAGCTGATGAGCAGTGTGTAGGTCCTGCGTCTGAGACCTGAACCTGCAAACCCTGGGCCACTGAAGTGGAGTGTGTGAACTTAATCACTATGCCACTTGGCTGGCCCCTGGATTTTTTTTTAATATATGTTCTGCCAGTCTCTGACTTGATTGGACAGTTTAATCTACTTAATTTAATGTAATTATTGATAAGAATTTACTGCCAACATTTTGCTATTTGTTGTCAGTATGTCTTATAGAGTTTTTGTCCCTCATTCCCTCCATTATTGCCTTCTTTTGTGTTTAGTTGATTTTTCATAGTGACATGCTTTGATTCTCTTTTGTATATATTCTATAGGTATTTTCTTTGTTTCTATTTCTTTTTGAGTCAATTCTGGTAACTTTTAATCTTTCAAGGAAGTTGATATTTCATCTGAGTTGTCAGACTTATTGGCATAAACTTGTTCATGACATTCCCTCGTTATCCTTTTAACCTCTGTACAATTATAAATGATGTGATCTTTCTCATTCTTTAAAATGGTACTTTTTGTCTTCTCTGATTCTCCTGTTCAGTTTGGCTAGAAGTTTATCAGTTTTATTAATTTTCTTTATAGAACCAGCTTTTTGTTTCATTGATTTTTTAAAAATTGTTTTACAGATTTGATTTTATCAATTTCTGATTTGAATTTTTATTATTTCCATTCTTCTGCTTGCTTTGGATTTAATTTGTCTGTGTTCTTAAATGGTTGGAAGTTGAGGTCATTGATTTGAGATCATTTTTTCTTTTCTAATATGGGCCTTTAGTGCTATAAATTTTCCCATCAGTGTTGCTTTAGTGACATCCCACAAATTTTGATACGTTGTATTTTTCTTTTCATTCAAAATACTTTAAAATACTTCCTAATTTCCCTTGGAGCAATTTGATTATGATGTCCCTTAGTATAGTTTTCTTCATGCTTCTGTGTTTGGGGTTCATCAAGCTTTGTTTTAAATCTATGAGTTTATCCTTTTTGTTAATTTTGAAAATTCGGAGCCGACCCCACCATTATTTCTTTAGATATATCTTTTGTCCCCCTTTCTTCTCTCTTTTCTCTTTTGTCGTCTACATTTGCTTGCATATTAGACTGCTTGAAGTTGTCCCACAGATCACTGATGCTTTCTCATTTTCTTTGATTCTCTTCTCTCTGTTTCCTTTTTGGTAGTTTCTATTGCTGTTCACATTCACTGACATTTTCTTCTGCAATATCTAAGTCTGCTGTTAATCCCATCCTGTGTATTTTTCATCTGAGACATTATCATTTTCATCTCTAGATGTTTGATATGGGTCTTTTTATTCTCTTTCATGTTTACTTAACTTTGTGAGCATGTGGCATATACAGTTATAAATGTTTTTAATGTCCTTGTTTGCTAATTCTAACATCTTTGTTAGGTTTGAATCAGTTTCTATTGATTGCTTTTTCTCCTTTTGACAAGGCAGATGATTCCATTGATGTGCTCTGGTTTCTCATTCACAAGTATCTCTTTATCATATTATTGATATTATCTTTGGTAAGTTTTCATGTTCCACTTCTTGTTTTAAAGGTCTTAGTGATTATATTATCTAGTTTTAACTAAAATGACCTTTATAAAATAGGCAAGAGTGCCTAAAAAAGATTCCTACAAAGAAATTGAATTAAATATTGTATTAAAAATGCAAGCCCAAATGAACAGCAAGGAAACAGCTGAAATGATAATTCTTCAGTGTGATGATGTGATTTATAATAAGAAATATATGGTTCTTGACACAGAGCTCCTAAGACCCTTGGAATTTCTTAGCTGATAAGAGCAATAAAGATGTCTTTTGTTTTTCGTAACAAGCCTTTTGACCACACCTGACTTTATGTTAATGCAGTGAATTCTAGAAAGCCCCAAGGATGGAGACTGGTTGCCAGGAGAACCAACCATGTGATTCGAAGATTGGAACTTTCAGTCCCACCCCGCCTCCCCCAACTCTGGGGAGGGAGGAGGGGCTGGAGATTTTGTTCAGTCACCAAAGGTGAATGATTTAATCAGTCATGCCTATGTAGTGATGGTTCCATAAATATATGAAACCATGGGTTTGGAGAGTTCTGTGTTGGCCAACATGTGGAGGTGCTGGGAGAGTGGTGCTCTTGGAGAGGCCATGGAAGCTCTTGCCCTACGCATCTCTTATCTGGCTGTTCCCGGGTTATATCCTTTCCGTGAGCTACTATCATAAGTTAACCAAATCAAGGAGGGGTTTCTGGGAACCTCTGATTTATAGCCGATTTGTCGGAAGCACAGATAATAAGCTGGACGTTGACTGGTGTCTGAAATGGGGGATGCAGCAGTCTTTGAGCCCTTGGGATCTGACTCTGACTCCAGGCAGATGGTGTCCGAACTGAGTCGAATTGTAGCACACCCAGCTGGTGTCCCTGCAGAGTCAGAGAATAGCTTGTTATGAGAAAAACCTCCACATATCTGGTCACAGAAGTGCTCAGTGCTGTAGTACAGCAGAGGAGAAACACAGGGCTATTTTCTCCTAAGCATTATGCTTCTATCCTGAGCTCCTAGTCATCCACATGAGGAGGTTGAAAAGGCAGTTTAGTCAAATCTAGTAAGAAGTTGGCAAAATCAGATTTATCAAAAAGATTGCCACTGTTGCCACCATTAAAGACAAATTTAACAGTCACTTGCAAAACAGAAGAACCAGGCTTGGTGAAGAAGCAGTTTGAGCCTATGGGAGTTACAGAGCACAGTGTCTGCACATGAGATTCACCAGAGGAGCCAAGAGAAGATTAATGGAGACTTGAGGGGTCTGAATCCACATGGGGTGCCCTTTCAGGCTAGCTGTGTCTGTTAGCTTTGCTGATAGGACTCCGGTGGGCAGTGTTCCCCGAAGGTGTTACCTGTAACTTTCAGATCGAATATAGTCTCTGAAAAACCTTCAGAATTTAACCATAGAGTATGCATGACAGGCTGTCTCTATATAGTGTCTACCATTGGCCTTCATTTAATACCAGCACCAAGTCAGAACCATTTCCCTCATCTGAATTTTCTCAGGTTTTGGTATTTTTTTAAAGCAATATTAATAGAATAAATAATTTCATTTTTATATAGATAGTGTGGCATAATATATTTTTATCTAGACCCAGTGAATACACGATTATTTAATATATGGGATTTTTTGTTTGTTTGGCTGCAAAGAAACTTTATACTTAAATTTTCCTTGGACTGTGTAATCAGACTGGCCTTTAACTAGATTGCCCATCATTTGAGGCATGGCTTTATCAACTCCTTTATCACCTTAGCCCAAAACAACCAACCATTTTTTTTCAATCTTTGGCGTATAGAAAGACCTGGCATAATGCACATTTTGAAATGCATTTTTATTGCCTAATTTGTGTATGTCATGGATCACCAGAAATCATCCAAAAATTACTAATATATTTTCATATTGGTGACAGGTGTTCTGTTAAGTGTTTCGTATATGTGGGTGCTGTTCATCTTAGTTGGGGCTGTTGTGAATTTATTGTGACAAGCTAATAAGATCTTTTGAAAATTTCTTTCCAAGCGTCTTGAGCTGATGTTTTCCCTCTGGCTAGTGGGATAGACTGCCGTTATTTTTGATACTCTTTAAAGACATGTGGGCAGTTACTGTTCATTTAAGCCAGATGGCATGTGTCAACTCCTTTTCCTGGAAAGGAAGAGGGTTTTTTGGGGCTGCTGTAGTAAAACTTTATGTGACTTCTTATGAAACTCTTCTCTTTAGATAAATTAGTACTTACGGAAGATTTTCATCGAACTTTGAGCATCCCTCCTGCACTTAGGAAGATTCTTAGAGGGTTGGGCACAGAGGTTTTGTGTGTAAATTCTCATTTTGCCATTGTGCAGTAGAAGTGATCATTGATAAGGTTATGTAAAACTAATACTGTATTTTAGGATATAAAACAAAGAATTCCTAAGAAAAGAAGTGAGTGGCCCTTTTATATTTTTCCAATTCTGCAAGTTCCCTATGGTCCGAATCTGAGTTAGGAGATTGGCTGACTGTGGACAACACTCAATATAGTGTATAGATGCTTAGGGAGCCCGTGAAAACTGCCCTGATCCACAGTCAGCCATGGGTAGTCTTCTCTATATTAACACCATGAATTCTAGCTTGTGGCTTTTAATGTGCATATTCAGTCACCACCTTACATTGAATTTTATTTTTTCAATAAAATTTTTATTTTTTCAAGAAGTGCAGGTAGGTGAGTGTTTGAATCCTATAAGCATTTGGTTTTCGTTTATGCTGATTAAGTCCTAAGCTGCTGAACTTTAGTGACACTTTTTCTTTTATCTTCACATTTATAACTCAAAGAATTTGGGGTATGAATTTGGGCATTTGATCAAGTGGTTTTTTGATTTTCTGGTTTTCTTGGTAATTGATCTTAAAAGTACATTTTATTGGGATTCTTATCAAAATTTTCATTTTTTCAAGGTGTTGACTTTAAGGTGAAAACAATTTCAGTGGATGGAAATAAGGCAAAACTTGCAATATGGGTAAGAATTTTTTAAATGTATTTTGTATAAATATTAAATACATACTTTTTAAAGAAGGAGAAATTGATATGTGAAGTGTTCTAGAGGTGAACAATTTGTATTAATTAACTTTTGGGAGATTTGATGTTGATTAAAGGGTGGCAATAAATAGTTATTTATTATAATTGTGTAATTAGGCAAAGATTTGTTTTACTTAAATTTTAAAAATATATGATTCCTTCAGAATATTTAAAAACAGAACAAAGGATAAAAAGTCATGTTGTCTGCTAGAGAGAAGCATTGTTATTGAATGTGTTCCTTTAAGGTTCTAAAAAGACAACCTAGGCTGAACTAATGCTAAAGGCAGTTGTTGGGGAGAAGGGGAATGAAGTGGTACTTAGAAAAAACAATGTACTTTTCATATTTGTGAGTATAAATATTTATAAAATTTGAGTTTGCCAACTTTGGGTTTGTTTTTAATACTGATGCCCAGTCTTTGATTATTGGCTTCTTCTCATTTGCCTGTGAACCCAGCCATTCTGAGCCACGTTGCTCTGCTAACTAGACCTCTTCATGGTCATGCTGATCAGGTTGCATTACCTGTCAAAACGTCCAAGATGTCTGTACTGTCTGGTCATCTCTCTCTCTCTCCTATCTACCTACCTACCTATCTACCTACCTATCTGTGTCTCTCTATCTAAATAGGATTGCTAATATAGTAATTATGTAACGTTTAATTTATAAAAATATACTACTTTGTATATCTAATTCCCACATATACTATGATAAATATATAAATATATTTTAATAACATAATAATATTAGAATTGGTCAGCAGTCATCAAATTGAGACATACGTCAGCATGGTGGTTAAATAGTGCTGCCTGGGCATCAGTTACAGATTGGAACAGCGAATGTTCATGATCTCATTCATCTTCCTGGCAGTCTTTGAATGGTATGCTGTTTGTAACATACATTTTATCCTAAATAATGAGTAACTATGTAAGTGTGTCTAATGTTTTTCTTATTTTTTTCTAACATACAGTGCTTTACATGATTGGGAGCCTATTTGCCCTCCCTCAGATATGTTTAATATCAATCAGAACAGTCGCGTCTAACAGAGAACAGTTTGGAAAATGTTAGACTAGGCCGTAGTAAAATATATTGAACAGTTTAAGAATGCTGACTTCCTTCTGTCCTAAAATGGAGGCCTGATTTTCCACGTCACCTCTTTCTGCCCTTGCTACTACTTTGTGAAATACAAGATTAGACTAGGATCTGAGGCTTCATGTTCACCTTGAGTTCTTTCTTTCATGTGAGAGGTTTTTTGTTTATTTTTAATTTACTCTCTAGTTCCTGCCTAATAAAAAGGCTGGCAGGTATTATTGAAGTGATATCTTTATTATATATGTGTGAATATTTTTTAAATGAGAAGTTTCTCCCTGACTATGAGGATAATACACGTTCGTTCTAAAAAGCATAATTGAAACAATAAGAAATTAATAGAGAAGAAAGTTCATCTTTAACCAATGTATACATTTTAGTGAACAGTCTTTAAAATAGCTAGGCACATGCATACTGTTACACACGTGTGCATCTACAGTTTTCCAAAGGAAAGGATTACATCTTATGTTTTTTCACCTGTTTGTGTCCCGCGCTACCCCCCTCCATCTACACTGTACATTTTTCTGTCAGTGAATTTAGAGGTACATCAGTTTAAATGGCCACCTGTATTCCATCTTACGGCTATACCTTACTTTTGTCAAACCTTAGTGACAGATAGTTACATCATTTTTAGTTTTTCACAAAGATCAACAGTGCTCTGAGTATCGTAATGTATGCATCTGTGTGTACTTGTCCAGTTACTTTCAGATGTATACCTAAAAGTAGAATTGTTGGCTCAAAGAATGTGAAGATTTAACATTGATTCATATGAAAAAGGTCTTTTGGACTGTATATTGCCAATCTTTCTCATTTTTGCCTCTCTGAGTAGTAATTGTTTACAAATATTTGCATTTCTTTTGATTAGTGAGGTTTTTTCTCTCACATTGTTTATTGATTATAGTTTAGTGAATTTTCTTTTTTTGTACTTTGCCCATTCTATATTAGCAGCCATCTTTTTCATGATTAAGGTCTTTATATAATAAATATACTACCTTTTTGTCATATGCTACATTTTTTTCCACTCTGTCATTTGTCTTTAAAATCTTATTTAAGGTGAATATGTGTTAATGTTCTTATGTGTGTATGTAATACTAACTCTTTCATGTGCTGCGTATGTTTTTTCCCGTTCCATACAGATTTCTTTTTGTCATTTACCTTTAAATCTCATTGAGGATGAGTGTGTGTGTATGGAGTTGAGGGGATGAGGGGGAGAGAGATTTTTGCCATACCAAGGTTTTGGTATTTATTTAGTCGGGTCAGGTATTTTCTTCATGCATCTGGGTGTCGTGTCGTATTTAGGAAGGCCTTCTCGCTCAGTATTAGAAGTGTGAGTCCATTGTTTCCTCTGATTTGTCTAGTTTTATTTATATAAATGAGATCAATTCCTCTCCCACTTGGAAGCTCCTGGGATTGAATAGAATCATCAAGCGCAGCCCCGGCCCACGGCCTCCATCAAGTGCTGCTTGCTCATCCTGACCTGCTTGGCACCTCGGAGGCGGCTTTTCTCCACAGCCTTGCCTCACCTCCGCTCCCCACCTTCTGTTATTTAGCCTTTCTAGATCCTTTCTAGCCCTTCATACATCTCTGTCTTCAATAATCTCTTTTCTTTTCCCACCAGAAAATAAAACCACAGGGTAAAGATAATCAGCTCTGCCTCTTGTATCTCACAAAGATGTCATTACACTTACTGTATATTCCTGTTTTGAAAACAAACACAAGCAAAAATCTAATTTCTGACTATTTAAGTGCTGTAAGTTTTGTAGTTGTTATAAATCCTGATCCAATATTATCGCACAGGGCTTTTTGCCCAGATTATTGTACCTATTTAAACATTTTTATAAGTGAATCAAAAAATGTCAAGACTTTAAACATCTGGCCTAATTTAATATTCACATGTAAAGTGTCAAAATCACGTGTAATATTTTAACATTAAAACATTTTTTGATACAGTCTTTACTTGTAAAACATTGGGTTTTGTGGCTATTTTCACAGGAATTACAGTTGTGATTTTTATTTGTGTTTCATCAAGGCACTTATTGAATTTGATCTCAATGAAGACCAAAGGGAACAAAATTCGTACTCAAATGCTTTCTGCTAGTTCTGGAAATTAATTTATTAAAGAGTAGATATTTTCCTTATGCAAATACAGTGACTTTCTTCTCTGTTATAGCAAAAAGTTTTGGGATTAAAATATTTCATTGTCCTAACCTATGTTGTATTACCAGAATTATAGTCTGCTTTAGATAGCAAGTCCACTTCAATTTTGTAGTTTTTAATTTATATTATTGTTTTTGAAAAGTTGAGTAAATATGCAAATAGAATAATTTTAAATATCAGAGGCAGGTTTTTTTAAGAAACTTTGATGCAAAGAGAATTTTCATAAAGAGAAATCATTTTTTTAATCACATAAATCTTTCTGTTTAGAAAGTTTAATTTTAATTTTATTATTTTTTCATTTCAACATGGCAAGGGTGGGGCAACAGTTTCTGTGGTGGTGAGAATCTGGAACAAGGACAGTTTGCATAAGCAGGCTTATCCTGTGCAAGAGTAATGGAGGTGCAAACTGGTTTATGTTGAACGTTGTTTTCCTCTTCAGTTTCTCTTCTAGGGCTATTAATTACCTCAGACACTCTCTACCTGTTGTTCTTGTTTTAAAGTTTTCTCTACTTTGGCCAGGCAAAGAAACTAGGTGTTGTTGGAGCCTGTCACTACTAGTTTGAAATTCCTCTCCAATCTTATAAACCTCTTAGAGGTTATTAACACTTGTTATATCTAAAGGAGCTTCTGCTTGTCCCGTTGCTGAACTCGCATTTGCAGCCATGGGACTGGTAGTTAAGGTGATGTTTGATGCACATCTTTACTTTTCTGCAGGTTACTTTACATTAACAGACTGCAAACTTTTTTCTTAAAAGGCAGGATAGTAAATATTTAGTCCAACCCTAAAAAAGGCCATATGGCAATGCATAAGCAGATGGGCCTGGCTGTGTTCTGCTAAAACTTTCCTTCATAAAACTTTACATAATAAAACAGGTGGTGGGCTGAGGCAATAGTTTGCAAACTGTTGCTTTGCATAATCTTAGGTACCTTGAAGCCACAGTCCAAGGATGGTAGAAAGAAGACAAGAGAGGAGAAACCAGGCCTGGAAGTAGAGACTTGCTAATTAGTTTCTTCTCTGCGCCCATCCCCCCCCGCCCCCCCCCCCAAAAAAAAGTTGAGCAGTGTCCTATGGCAAGAATTGTTCTAGGCGCTGGGGTTAAACTGGTTGTTCAGCGGATGAGGTCCCTTCTTCATGAAATTTACATTACCTACCTAGTGTACATCTTATGTTGTTCATCAGCCCTCATATGAGTCAGAAACAACATGTAATTAGGAGTGGTTTGGTTTTATGCATTTTCCTAAAAGAAGATACATAGAAAACACTTAAAAGAGTCTAGCGTAAAAATTCTTTATCTTAAATAAGACACCCGTGTAATTCTGTTTAAATCAGTGGTTGTTAGCCTTGATTCAATGTTAGAATCACCTGGGAAGATTTTTAAACCTTCTATCATACCCTAGACCAATTAAATCAGAATTTTTGGGAGTTGGACCCAGGCGTTAGTATTTTTAGTTTCCCAGGAGATTTTGTTGTGCACCCAGAGTTGAGAACCATGATTTCCAATGAAATTAGTTTCATGTGTGATAAAAATCTTAAATCCAAAGTGGTAGAAAGCCGTCAGTCAGCCCTGCTGGTCTAGTTGTTAAGATTGGGTGCTCTCACAGCCGCCGCCCGGGTCGTTTCCGCTCAGGGAACACACCATCCCTCTGTCGGGTGTCATACTGTGGTAGCTGTGTGTTGCTGGCATGCAGAAAGCTCTGCCACCGGGGCTTCCAATACCAGCAGGGTCACCCATGGTGGACAGGTTTCAGTGGAGCTTCCAGACTAGACAGACTAGGAAGAAGGACCTGGCCACCCAATTTGAAAACATTGGCCATGAAAACAGTGGAGCATGTATGATACAGGCCAGAAGCTGAGAAGATGGTGCAGAGCGAGTTCAGCTCTGCTGTACACAGGGTGCTAGGAGTCGGAATCCACTGGATGGCACTAACAACAAGAAAACTTTTACAGAGGTTGCATTTTTCTAGAGATGTCAGTATTTATTAATTTTGTTTTATGTAACACTCATCAGTAAGAGAACACATCTTATTTAAATTTCAAGTTTTAAATGAACTTAACAATGCTGTTTTGATTTTCTTTGCCTAAATTGTATATTGAAGGTCTGTTGCTTATTTATGATTTGTTTTATTTAATAATAATTGATTGTTACTTTTAGGATACTGCTGGTCAAGAGAGGTTCAGAACATTAACTCCCAGCTATTACAGAGGTGCGCAGGGTGTTATATTAGGTAAGTTTTTACTGTAATATACTATTTGAAAAATACTATTGTTTATTACTGGAATTTCTGATTTTCCTTGTCTATGTAGGTAAATGAATTTTTGTTCTATTTTTCTTTAGGGCTACTTTTATGTATCTTGAAGTTATATTTACTTCATTTAGTATTAATGAGTATTATTTAAACTTTTAAAATTTCTTTCAGCCCTTTGTCCAGCAGTTAACAAATAAAAGTCAGGCCAGTTTATTTGGTTTAAAGCACATGTTGATGAGCACGTAATTGAGGATTAACCCACATATAGTTCGTCTGTCTTAGAGTATTACCAGAAACTGATGCTCAGTTAGTAGGTATTAGTTGCTGCAGTTTATAAAAGAAGAAGAGTGTTTGTTACTTATTGGAGTCTGTTTAATCAGTCCTGAAAAATAGCACAAAATACTTAACACTGTTGACTCGTAATCCCACAAAATTTAAAAAACAAATGTGATTCTCAGTGTAATCTGTTGAAAAGAGCTTATTATTAATATTCCTGGGAAACTGTTTAAAATGAATATTGATCAGTTGTAGGGGAGAATTCTTTTTTTATATCATGACTTGTGAGACTTTGGTTTCATTTCTCTTAATTTGACAGTTATTCTTTTTTTAAAAAAATTTTTATTGAGTTAATGATAGGTTAGCATCTTGTGAAATTTCAGTTGTACATTATTGTTTGTCAGTCGTGTTGTAGGTGCACCACTTCACCCTTTGTGCCCACCCCCACCCCCATCTTTCCCCTGGTAGCCACTAATCTGTTCTCTTTGTCTACATTTTTAAATTCCTCATATGAGCGGAGTCATACAGAGATTGACAGTGATTCTTATTATTTTGGTACAGCATTCCTTGAGTTTAGAAAACACTTTAAATTAATAAGCTCTTTATTTATTATGATGCAGGATAAGATGAAAGTGATAACGGAGGAAGACAACCAGGATCCCATCCACTAACTTGACACATTTTTTCAAATCTGAAAATTCTGGTCATTGTAAGAAACAAATTAACAGGGTCATAGATGTTTAAATTCATGTAAAATTTTTTTGTATTTTGCCACAGATTTGGATCTAAACACATTTGGGTTTTTGGTCAAACTTCTTTTATTGTTATGAAGGGGGACAGCTTAAATTTTTGCTTAAATTAATTTTCAGTTATCACACAGGATATAATTTATATGTTATATGTATGTTATATGTAAATTTTTTTTAAATATACTTGCTTTTTTTAATGTACTTGTTTCTTCATCTGGATCGGTAGACAGTGTTAAGTGTTGAAGGCTTAAAAAAACAGACTTGTCTACATATTGACATTAGCTCCCGGTTACATATCAGAAATGTAATGTCATTGCTTCTTATTTTTAATGCTTAGTTAATAAATTACTCTCTTTATTTCAGTTTATGATGTCACAAGAAGAGACACCTTTGTTAAACTGGATAATTGGTTAAATGAATTGGAAACATATTGCACAAGAAATGACATAGTAAACATGCTAGTTGGGAATAAAATTGATAAGGTAAGAAGTCAGACTCTTGGTATTTTGGCTCCATAGTCTGATAGCTTTTCTTAATCTTTGCATTTATCTTTTAGGAAAATCGTGAAGTCGATAGAAATGAAGGCCTGAAATTTGCACGCAAGCATTCCATGTTATTTATAGGTGGGTGTGTGGATATTTATTCTTTTATTTTTAATGAGGAACTTTAAAATGGAGTTTCTGCTAATTTTTTTTTTTTTGAGGAAGATTAGCCCTGAGCTAACATCCGCTGTCAATCCTTCTCTTTTTGCTGAGGAAGATTGGCCCTGAGCTAGTGCCTGTGCCCATCTTCCTCTATTTTATATGTGGGACGCCTGCCACAGCACGGCTTGATAAACAGTGATAGGTCTGTGCCCAGGATCCAAACCAGCAAACCCCAGGCTGCCGAAGTGGAGCGTGTGCACTTAACTGCTACACTGCAGGGCTGGCCCCTACATTTTTCTTTTTATGAACCATAAAACATATGTATTTAGTTCATGGTTGTCCCATGCTATAAAATATAATTATAACACTAAGTTCTTTATTTTTCCTTCTTTAAAAAAAAAAAATAGGATAACGTTATGTGAAGTCGTATGGAACACAGTCAGATCATTCCTCTCAGGATATAACGGCATTCAGTAAAGCCAGGAATCCATGCTAAAGTTGAACCTTGCTGGTCCATGTGCTGTCAGGAGTGGCACCACCTGGGAGCTTGTTAGAAATGCTTCATCTCAGGCCCAGCCCAGTTTTTCTGACTTAGAATGTGCATTTTAACGAGACCTGTGTGTGCTTTGCACATTAATATTTGAGAAGCATGGTAGAGCAGGGGTTGGCATACTTTGGCATGGGCCAGATGTGGCCCCACCCTTTGCATTGGAGCACACCCGTGCCCAGTCGTCTGCGTGCTGTCTGTGGCTGCTTTGGTGCTTCCTGGCAGAGTGCAGTAGTTACAGCAGGAACCGTGTGGCGTTTAAAGCCTAAAATATTTACTGTCTAGCCCTTTACAGAAAGTTTGCTGACCCCTGGTCTAGAAAAGTGGACTGACTTTGTCAGAATCATGTGGAGAGCATTTTAGAAGTACAGATTTCTGGGCCTTATCACAGGTCTGAAACAGGGCCTGGGAGGCAGTTTATAAAAAACACCCTGGTGGTTTCTGATGTGAAGCCAGTTTTAGAAATGACTGATTTAGCTGTTGCACTGTGTTAGAAGCTGTTAGGAATCAGGAATTGGATCATATATAGACAGAAACAGGGTGGTATAAGTGGAAGGTATAGGGAATTTTAGAAAGGAGTTGAGTACTAGCGCTACTGCTTATTTGCTGGGTGTCCTTCATTTCTGTGTATTAGTTTGTTCAATAAATATTGTCCATTGAGGATATAATGATGAACAAAATGGTCAAACTCCTGCCCTCATGGAACTTACATTATAGTATGGGAAACAGCCTTAAATAAGTAAGTAATGCTTTGAAGCAAATAAAACATTGTAGGGGGAGAGAGAACGACTGGGGTGGAAAATGATGAGGGAAAGTTCTTCGAGGCAGAGCTATTTGAACATGAATCCGTCATATGAAGATCTTGAAGGAAAGCATGTCAGGCTGAGAGACTACCAAACATTTCCTGAGGTAGGAACCAGAGTAGTGTATTTAAGAAACAGAAAGAAAGCAAATTGGCTGGAGCATAGTGTGTGTTGGGGGAAGGATGGTGATGATGGGAGATTTAAAAAGGCCATGTTAGACCTTATAGGATATGGTAAAGAAATGGATTTTATTCTAAGTGTGGTGCAAAGCAAGGGAGTAGTGCTGTGATCTGAAATTCTTTAAAAAAGACTCATTTGTGTAGCAAATGAACCATGAGAAGCAGAAGCAAGAGTGGCCCAGGTGAGTGATGCTGGTGGCTTTGACTACTGTAGCAATAGTGGGTGGTGGAAAGTTCGCAGATCCACCAGCTTTGATGGTAGAGCTGACACACTATGCTGGTAGACTGGGTGCAGAGGATAAGGAAAGAGAGCAATCAAGGATAATTCTGGGTTTTGGGCATAAGCAGCTGGGTGGATTGTGCCATGAACTGGGATGTGGAAGACTGAGATAAGAACAGGTTTAGGTGGGGGAATAGGGAATCAAGAATTCTGCTTAGGCATAAGAACGAACCGTCTTTCAGATAATCACATTCTGGCCGCTGGCATTTAAAGCCATAGATTGGAGCAATCACTACAGGAAAAACTGGATAGAAAAGGGCTGAAGATTGAACCCTGGGGTACTCCAACAGTTAGAGGTCAGCAGAAAGAGGAGGTGCGGGCAAATAAGGCTGTGAATGACATGCCAGTGAGAGGAGGACTATCAGGAGTGTTCAGTGTCCTAGAAGCCAGGTGCACAAAGTATTTAAAGAAAGAAAGTGATCATCTTTCAAATGCTGCAGGGTGTCGGGTAAGATGAGGAATTGGATTTGACAAGACAGAGGGTGGTAGTGGTCTTGAAAAGAATGCTTCAGTGGAGTGATGTGATCAAAAGCCTAATTAGAGTAGTTTGAAGAAAGAATGTGAGGTAAGAAAGTGGAAACAGCTTGTTTGTGTAGATAACTCTTTACAACAGTTTTGCTTTGAAAGAGAGTAGAGAAACTGAGTGGCTGCTAGAAGGATATGTGGGCTGGAGGGCAGTTGGTTGGTTGGTTGGTTAATAGGATGGATGATAATTTTGGCAGGCTTTTATACTTATTGGTATGATCTGATAGAGAGGGCACATGGTCCGTCAGTGAAGAAGAAAGGGGGTCCCAGGAGCTAGAAAAGGGGATGGCCTGAAGTAGCAGCAGGGATGGTTCATCCGTTGTACCAGGAGTGAAGGCAGAGTCTAAGGATACACAGGCAGGTAGGTTGGTAACCCTGTTAGTGGGATGGTCAGTAGTTCTTGCCAGATTGTTTCTGTTTTTCTCAACGTCAAGCTAGATCAGCTGAGATAGAGGAGTTTTAAGACGAAGGAATAAAATAGACAGTGAGAAAGGTAATCACTAGGGAAAAGCAGGACTGGGGAGCAATGCTAAGTGTCCTCATGTGTTTCATAAGCATAAATTTAAAATGGGACCAGTGTCCATGGTTGTATGTCATTTATCCAACCACCTGTAGATGGTTGCAGGCACAGAACAACCAGATTAATTGTTTAGCTAATTCTAAAATGGAAATAATATCTGCTTCAGGGGCTAGTTTTAAGAATTCACTGAAAAATTAAGGAAGGAACTTTGACATAGTATTTGAGTAAGGCTTTATAATTCACAGTTCTATCATAAACTCTTGGGCTTGTATATGAGTATTCTTATGGATAGAATTTAAGTCGCTCAACTTGACAGTTGAGAGAAATTCACTAATATTAAGTCTATGGGGAGAAATTGCTGATTGGTTCTTTATATATTGTAGGCTGGTATTTATGGCATAGTAATTTCTCAGAAAAACGTAAGAATATGACTGGTAAAGAATATACTGTGACATTTTTCCTTGAATTTCAGAGGCAAGTGCAAAAACATGTGATGGGGTACAGTGTGCCTTTGAGGAACTTGTTGAAAAGATCATTCAGACGCCTGGACTGTGGGAAAGTGAGAACCAGAATAAAGGAGTCAAACTGTCACACAGGGAAGAAGGCCACGGAGGAGGAGCCTGTGGTGGTTATTGTTCTGTGTTATAAACTCTGGGAAACTCCATCTCTTGCATATTTGATCAGATAGTGACATCTTTCTGTATATAAACTCTTTAACTGCTATTTTAGGGACCTTGCAGTTTGCACATATTTGTTTTGTATCATGGCAGTAAATACTTGCAAGAAATCCCACTCACTGGCTTCCCCAGGTAAAACGTTATGGTGAGCATGCATGGTTTGCAGTCCACAGTTTTTTATGTAACATAAAATAGGTGTACCTTTATAGGTCCATTTGATTTTATGATTTACATTTATCATGTGATTTTAAAAAAATCCACTTATCTAGTATATGTTGATACAAAGTCTACTTTCGATCTCCTTTTTGCTTAAATACTCCTATCAATTACTGAATTAATGGGTATGTAGAACTCCTGGAACCACTGGGAGATATACAGGTATCATCAAACCTGGCAAATTTCCTCTCAGGAATAACACAGAGCATGATTCCACAGCTTTTCTAGGATGTTTGCTGACAGATTCTCTTTTAGTAACTAAGTGAAATTCTCTTTACAGGATGTAGTCCAGGCCAACTTTAATTAAATTTCTGTTCTGATGATGCTTCTATAATAGCATTGATATGTTAAAGAAGTTTGGTCTTTCTTTTTCAATTTACTTCAATGAGTAGCTCAGTTGCTTAACTGGAGTTTCAAATCTGTGATATGTACATTGAATTCATGACCCTGTGTGCAGCGTTTTGAGTTATGTGGTGTTTGGCAGAATGGCAATAAGGTTTTCCCCCATTTTGGTTTCGGAAAGATATGAATAGTGTGTTTATGTAACTCGTGTAGTACTTACCACTTTTAAAACCAACACCTTTTTCCATAAATGTTGGTGGTGTTTGTCCAGGTACTTCAATTGTAGCTTGTGTAATGTTTATGAATATCTGTATCTTATGACTTCCATAAATGGCTAGTTGATATTCAGAAACCTATTTCTGTGTTTTGAGGGTTGGGAAAAAAAGAACACTAAATGACAATTTGAGAAAGGGATATTGCTTCCAGATTTTGATGTGTGCGGGAAAATCTGTTGTGATGAAAATCTGCATAATTTACTGTAATAAGTAGCTAATTGTTTATCAGAACCAACTTGTACAGACTAATAAATCTTTTCCACAGTATTCAGTTTTCTAACCTCTTGGCTATTGTACATTGTATATTTTTTTTCACTTATTTGTTACTTAGTTTACATTGATCTCAGCTTTTTTAAGCCCCAAGTAAGTAATTTGTCCATTCAGGCAGGTCACTATGATACCCCTCAGTAAGATTCTGATGTTAATTTCTGGGCAGTTTGTTCTCTGTATGCAGTTGCCAATGATAAGCATTTTTGTGAGTCACCTTTGCAATATGTGTGATAATGCATTTACTTCAAGTTGGGTCTTTCTGAAAATGTACATCTTCAAATAAGAAAACTTTCCATTCTACTTGGTTCACATTTGTTAGACTGTATTACATGTGATTGAAGGTTTTCTACGTTCTGTATGCTTTTACTAAATATAAAACATTTACTACTTCAGTGTTGGAGAAAGGTAGCTAACCCATGTACCTACCATTTGTTCGTGTTACATTAAAACTGTAGGTTTGTATGTTTATGTAGTGTCTGTATTGACAAGACATTTCTGTTTATTGCATTTTGCTTCTTGAGCTATATAATAATCTTTCTCTGCATTGGATTGTTGTCTTAATTTGGTCAGAATTTGGATACATATGAGTCAATTTTTAAAAACTGATTTTGTTTGATAGATTTATATTGTAACCTTTTATAGCTTTTAAATAAATATAGCCTGCTTTCCCTAGATGCATTTGTGCAGGAAGTATTATACATTTCCCTATTACTCTCATCAGCTGAGGAACATCTGAATATAGTGTTATTCAAATTCTATTATGTAATGTGGCTTTCACTTTACTATTTTGTTGCAAACTTATTGTTTCATAGTGGAGGTTTTCTAAGTGAAATAGTTGTAATATCTAAAATTAGTCACTTAACTGAGGATTTTGTTAATTTTTTCCCCAGATCATTTAAAGTAGTTTTAAAGTGCCTTTTGCATATGGTGCAAATTAGAAGTAGAATATAGTATTTTGAGTTCTAGGAGTACTGACGTAGACCTGAACAAATGAAATAACTATTCAATTTATATTAAGAGTAATAGTTAACATTTATTGAAAGATTCCTTAGTGCCAGGTGCTAAGTGCTGGATTATCTCATTAAACTTCACAGCAACCTTAAGAGATTGGTTGGTATTCCTCTTCTGCCCATTTTAAAGATAAGGATCATGAAACGGACATATGTTAGGTAACTTTCCAAAGATCACGTAGCTAATCGGTGATGGAGCTGCATTCCCGTCATTTTCACTCCTGAGTCCATATGCTCTTACTCACTGCTCCCATTGCTATGGCCGATTACTACCTTTTGGTTTTAACACAGCAGGAGAGTTTCCCTGTTTCTTTATCATTCTTTTGTTATGTGTAATAGAAGTATTTCAGCTTTTTTGGTTATAGAGTAGAGCAGGATACTGAAGGAGATGAGTTTGATCTCTCATTGATGTAAACATCAATGTTGACGTAAACCAACCGTGTAAGTCATTTGACTAAAAGTTAAGGTGGTGGAGTGGGTGGTCTCAGTTCTTTTACCTCGTCAGGGTGGAATGAAAATCCCTGACTTAGAAAAGTTTCAAAGTCAGGCGACATGGCACCTTAACTTCCTATTTGTAATTGGACTTGAGAGAAGAAATTAAATCTGGGAACAGTCTTTTGTTTAAAACTGAAATCTGGGGGATATTATACCTGTGGGGGTGGGACAGACCTACCTCATATCCATAATCTCTTTAAATACAGCTTAGTGTATGTTTTTTCTGAGTTTCAAATGAGCTAGGATAATCTAGGTATTCTAGACTGTAGGTCTTCTCAGTATCAAGCATTACGCTTCTTTGTCTTGGGGTCCATTTCACCAGTCATACTTCCAAAGGTTTTTGTCCTTCATGTATTTTCCCTATTTAGACATAGGGGTAAAAGCATTTAATCAGTTTTCAGAAGACATTGTGCTAGTTCTGACCGCAGCTATGCTGAGGGTGATCAGCCACAGACTTCATTCTGGGTTTTGTCTAGGAATGCGGAAAGACGACTGTAGGAAGAAGCAGAGAGGCTGCGTCAGGACTTGGGGCTGAGGGATATAAATCTACCCAGGAAGCTGATTTTTTTTTCAGAATGGGAACATCTATCAGGTTGGAGGGGGGAGAAAAAGGTAATCAACTTCTGTTATGTTAAGGGATTTAAATTTTACTATTTGTTGCTAGCTTTTTGTTTCATGTTTAGGAATCAGTAATGTTTCTGATTGGGTATAAAGTTTGCTTAAGCGCCTTAGTTACAGCTGTTTTGTACACACACACACACACACACATTTCTAGTAGAAGTGTGAGCGCCTGTTCTCAGTCCTGCCCCCTCACCCTCTCTCTCACTCACAAACAATATTTTTTCTTTTGTTTATTAACCTGATGAGCAACAAGTTATGTAATTTTATTTCTGTTTCTTTGATTGCTAGTGAGATTAAGCATTTTTAATATTTTATTGGATATTTGTATTATTTAATTCCTGTTTGTGTATGTCGTGGTTGCCCATCCAGCATCCACTTCCTTCTCTCACAGTGCTACCCACTTTTTCTTTGGATAACTGCCCCCCATCATCACACATGTGGTTTGGATGAGATTTGTCACACCCCCAGCTCTGGAGTTGGCCTGGCTGCCTTTAACTAGTGCTCCTCCCTCCCTGTAAATGGTTAGGGATAGGCACCTGACCCACATCAGGCTACTTAGATTTTGCTGAGGCTTCCTCAGGAACTGCTGAAGAAGACGCCTTCTTGGAGATAAGTGTGGTGTGAGGATTCATGTTCTGAACTTGCTGCAGCTAATTTTTCTAATCCAAAGGAGCCAGCCTGAGGGCAGTACCAAGAAAATGAGAGGGAGTCCAAGTTGGAGCCCTGATGCAATGTGGAACCTCTGGATCAAGTTGGACCTGAAGTGAAATCTACTTCTGGACTTTGCACTTATCTGAGCCAATAAATTCCTTTTTTGTTTAAGCCAATTTGAGTGGGATTTTCTTTTTTCTTGGAACCAAATGAATGCCATGTGAGTGTGTATGTTCTTATTTGTAGGGTCTCTTTGTACATCAAGTTCAGTACATTAATGTTTATTTGCGTAAGGGGATAAGAAGTAAAACGATCACTTGAAAAGCCATTACTCTTAAATAACTTAATATTTTAGTGAAGTTACTTTCATGTATTTCTTTTTGGATAAAGACATATAAATGAGTTAACCCAATACATGTGATTTTAATGTCCATTTGTTTTATAGGGTCTCATGTTGCCTGTCACCTGAACACTCCCTCTTCCCCTCTCCTACCTGACATAATTAGTTTTACAACCTGGCCTGTGTCCCCTTTCTGCATTTCTCCATATCTTTATAATCATATACAAATATGTACATATACATATTTTACTCTTGCTCATTTTATAAAAATGGAATCATCTGTATATTCATCTCTGCATGTTTCTTTTCTTATCTAACCACAGATTGTGAAAATCCCTCCAATCCAATTTACATGCATTGAACATCTATGTCAGTGATTGTTGCAATATTAAGTAATCCACTGTTTGGATGTACCACATCCATTTTTAACCATTCCTCTAGTAAGGGGTGTTTGTATTGTTTCCGTCTTTTGCCTGTGCAGATGGTGCTGCAATAAATATCCTTATACACGTATCTTTTTGTTTCTCTGGGATAAGTATCTAAGAGTTGCATCTGTGGGCCAAACAAAATCTATTTTTTAGTTTTAACTTTGTAGATTGCTTTCAAAAATCTGTAACAGTTTGCATTTCTGCTAGCAGTATCTGAGTATCGTTTCCCCCCTGCATTCCCCATTTGCAGCAGGAGTTGCTCTCAAATTTTAATTTTCATCACTTTTATATTTGTAATGTGTTAACTGTTATTTTAGTTTGCATTTTTTCATGTTTTTAGGCTATTTGGTATTGCTCTTTTTTGAAATGATTATTTATACCCTTTTCCAGTTTTCCTGTTGTTTTTTTGTTTTTTTAAATGATCTGTTTGTATAGTACAGATACTAACTTATGTGTGTATGTTTTAAGCATTTGTTTCTAACCTAATGTTTGTTTTTTCACTTTGTTTATGCTATGTTGTCTTACAAGTTATTTTTTAATGTTTTATACCATCTGGGTTCTGCAACTCTTAGATGGTACATACAATGTCCTTATAACCTCTTCTGAGACTTCTGCTTTTTCTTTTTAAATCTTTAATAACTTGGAATTTACCTTTCTTTATGACACAAGATGGGGAGCCAAGTTATTCTTATGGATAGCCAGTTGTGCCAGCACTACACATTAAATAAACTTTCTTTTTCCCACTGAGCTGAAATACCACTTTTTTCCTAGATAAAGTACTGGAATCTACTTTGGCCTTCTGTTTTAGTGTCTCTTAACCTTCAAAGGTAATATATTTCAATATAATTGATTTTCTTTCATCCTGTGTATTTCATTTATGCTTTAACAAACATTCTCAGAAGGCCTCTGCAGGTTTCATGAGCCTGCTGCTGAGGCCTGGCCAAACAAGAGTTGTGATGCTAGTGGCTGCACAGTGTGTTCCTGACTGATAAGGCGAGTCCTTTCTCCCTCTTTGTCAATTTGTTTTCTACATATGAATCTTAAAGATCACTTCATCTGTTGCTCATTTTTCCTTTTTTGTGATTCCTTTTTTTTAGTAAAGGAGTTCTTTCTGAACTGCAACAAGGATACTAATCCTTTGTCGTTAATATATATTCCTGAAGTCTTCTCCCAGTCATTGATTTGTCTTTTGACTTTATTTGAAATATTGCATAATCAAAAATTTTTTAAACCAAAAATTTAATCATTTTAATCCATTTTTAAAAACTGGGATTCTAGGTGGACTCACATGATATTTCTACATTAATTAGGAGAAAACTAAAAATTTAATAAAGATTTGCCATTAGGAAATATGGGATCTTTCTGTCTCTTCAGGTTTTACACTGCTTTTTAAATTTGTAGTTTTCTTTACATAGATCCCGAACCTTTTTTTCCATTAGTGTAAGTAGAATTGGTTTCTCATTTCAGAATCTATGTAGTTATTGCTAATAAAGAAAAGCCATGGACTTTTCTGTCTGTCCAGCCACCTAATCAATTTTGTGGTTTGGTTTAAACTAGAGTTTCTTTAGTTTTCTAGATAAGATAGCAAAAATGCAATTTTTAAATATGTTTATTTGGAGGAAATTGCAGGCGTCTGCTTTGTCTCTCATATCATTTTGAGTCTGTTTCCTGACAAAGTGTTTGGAGGAAACCTCCCATTTCACAGCTCCTGCTAAGTCTTGGACACCCCAGCCTTCCGTGGAGGTTTCCGCCAACTCTCTCCAAGGCCAGGGCTCTTCGACTTCTACGGGCCAAACCCTGCCTAGGATCCACTAGTTTCTGAACTTTTTCTAATGTAGTCATAGTGAGACCGGGCTGTTGTTTCTAACTTCATGTTTTGCAAGATTCATAAAATTGGGAAGATTCTATCTTTTTCTGCATGGTGGCGTACTTAATTTTTTAAAACTGGTGTTGGCTGTTTCTTACGAGTTTCCTAGAAGTCAGTAGCGCGTAGTGGTTAGGAGGTTGGCCTTTTGGAATCAGTGAGCTCACATCCCAGCTCAGTTATTTTAGTACTGTTTGGTCTTGGGGCAGTTACTTGAAAACTGGGCATAGTAATACTCTCAACAACTTTGTAGGGTTGTTGTGAACATTACATGAGTTAGGGAGTGTAAAGCTTGACACAGTGCACTTCAGTGAATGTTAGCTGTTAGCATATCTTGGTTGTTGGTTTCCGAAGTTTTTCTGTTGTTCCTTAAGTCAATTTTTATAGTTCACATACAGAAAACAATGCATTTTTTTCCTTTCAAGGTTAGAATTTTTCTGGAACAAAATTAGACATTTAAAAACTATTTTTCTAAGGTGATAGTTTCTCATTCCATATGTGCATATGTGTAATTTTCCTTTTTTCTTTTGCAAGCAGGTTGTCTCTGTGGTCTCTTTAACAGGCAAAAATGTAGTCTAGAACAGTGAACTGGAAATAAACGGTGTAGTGATTTCTAAATAGAGTGGATAGATGTTAATGAGGTACCTGTGGAGAATAGTGCCAGAGTCCCTCCTTTGGGAAGATCTGGGTGTTAACAGCAGGCCTTGCTTCGGGATACACAGCATCTGTGTGTCTCAGCCCTTGGAAGTCTGCAGGTGCCAGGAGAGCTCTGGGCAGTGAGCTTGCTGTGTCAGGAAATAGTATAGGCTCCTGACCACAAGGCGTCCGTCGTTTTTCAGATTCGTGTTCCTCTAGCCATAGTTTCTTTACTAGGAATTTTAAGCTAGTTAAATATTCCCATGTGTCTCACTCATACCACCTTTTTTAGGTTAGACAGGCAACCAACATCTAAGTTTTCTTTAAAACAACACTAATAAATCTTGTAGTACTAGGTGGAGAGCATAATATACTTTTATAAACATGTCTGTTTACACTTACCTCTTGCACAGTTCACTTTTCCTTAATAAAAATATGATTAAATCACTCTTAGAAAATGACTTCAGAGTTACAGTACCAATAGAACTACCAACTGGGAACCTACTAAGAAAAAGTAAAAATTTATTTGCATTCTTTTTGACCTTCAGTGTTACTTCACAATGGATGTATAGTCGAGTGTTCAAACTACTTGAACAAATTCTTTGCTTCTATATGATTTTATTATCTATTTGATATAAATTCATTTGTTCCTGCTTGTATTCAGTTTTAGGGCTTACTTTTTTCATCACTTTTAATTTAGTCTTTTGAATAATTAAAAGATTTACATGGCTTAAAAGTCAGTACCATATAAAAAGCTAAATTAGAGAAGTCATGTTCCCATCCTTATCAACTCCATCGCCATCTCACATCCTGCTTATATGTAGTCATTGTCACTAGGTTCTGGTTTATTCCTCCTCTGTTTCTTTCTGCAAAAATTATGCAATATTCTTTTTTCCATTTCTTATGTGAAAGATGGCATACTATGTACATCTTTTGAATCTTGCTTTTTTACTTAATGTAACCTGAAAAGTCGCTCCATGTATCATCAGATCATGAAGCTGTTCCCTATTCTTTTTCAGGGGTTGCAAGTCCTCCATTGTAGATTGCACAGTTTATTCGACTGTTTGCCAGTGAATGCGCAGTGAATAACTTTATGTGTTGTTTCGTTTCTTTAGAGGATAAGTTCCTAAGTCAATTTTTAAAATCTTTATTGAAGTATATTTGATATAAAATGCATTCACTTTGGGACCAACTTTGATGAGTTTTAATAAATATATACACTCGTGTAACTACTCTCACAATCTAGATCTGGAACATTCCTAGTACCAAAAAGTTCCCTTGTGTGTAGAGTTTGGTCACCTTCTTCCTCCCGCTTCTGCTATACCTGATGCTGCCTGGGGTTTGCTCTGGACCCCCAGGCAGATTGGCTCTGGCTTTTATTGCAGTTCCAGATGCATATTCAAGACTTCCTTTTTATCCTCTTTTACCTATTAGAGGCATCTGTCTTTTTTCCATTTTGCATAAATCTGTAGAAATCTCTCATATGATGATGTTCTTCACTGCCTTCACTATTAAGATTTGTTCTTCAGTTCTTTTAATGTATTTTTAACGTGTTTTTGGGAGGACGTAGAAACAAACTCATGCTTGGGTGTACCCTCTAAGCTAGAGCCATTAATTAGTCTTTTAACTAGTGAGGTCAATAGGAAATTGTTGATAGGAAGAAAAAAGGTGAAACCAAAGGACAGGTGTTCCTAATGAGGTAAAGTATTTTGGAATGAATGTACCAAGGCAAGTGAGCTGGGACGGTAGGCAATGTCAGAGAGATGCTTGACCTTGATATTTGGGGGGTAGATCCAGGTTGTAACCAGGTATGGGTATGTGAGGTGGGGTGGAAGATAAGATAGCTGGCAGTGAGGAGGCCAAGGTGCTAGATGGATCCTGGATGTTTCTTCAATCAATAGAT